CCTGCCATTCGCTGCTTCTAGGGATCACTGACTTTGTAATGCATCAGAGAGCTCTTCAGCCTTGGGAGCATGGAGGCTGCTGCCGGTAGGAGACCCCCATCAGACTGGATTCGCAGAGGCTGCTTGGAACCCTATGGCCAGTGTTTCCTTCCCTCTTGCTTTTCCTTACATGGTCACCCCTACGTATCACGCTGCCTCACTCTGATTCACTCTCTGTAATCTTCCCTGTTCTTCTTTTCTTCCTCTTTCTCATCTCCTCCCTGCTTCCAAGAAGCTCTCTTCTCTGTGAAGACAGCTTCTAGGGCTGCTATGAGACCCAGCCAGGAGGCGGTGCTGGGTTAGTGAGGCCACCCACGATCACTGGGAAGGAATTAGATGAGAATGAAGATTGTGACCTGCAGGCTGTGTGTGTGTTGGCTATCCTGGGTGGAACTGTGTTAAATACAATTCTTTAGACATGGGGTCAAAATAAGCTGCATCTTTCACGGGAAAAATACCTCAGTCTTCTACCATTATCAATTATTTAATTTTAAGTCATGGTTTTAAAGTAAAATGCATTTTGATCTTCTGAAAATTTTCTTCTATAGAGTTTCTTCCCATTTCTCCTCAAATTTTAGGTTACAGTTGGGAAATTGTTCTCTTCTTGGGGGAACCGTACCCTGTCAGTAAAGGTTCATTAACGTGCATCCTCAAAAGCCCGCCCCTCGGCCAGCTGCTTTTCCGGATGTGGACAGAGTGGACATTTGACTCTTGAGTTTTGTCTGTGGAATAGTCATAAGGGCTCTTGGATATACACTAACAATCTTGGGTACATTGAAAAACATCAGGAGCCACACAAGGTAGCCACATTAGGGTTAGACCAAAGCCTCAGACTGCAGTGCACAGCCTTGAGAGCTGATGACAGGAGGGAAGTTCCAGAGTCCAGTCAGTGGAGAGCAGGCGTGGGGCAGTGGCCTGGTGAACCTGCAGGGCAGGACATAGGAACTGGTTTAGTGGTTGTCAATCAAACTCCGGGTGGCTAGACACAACCGATCTCTCCTTGCCAGCGCTGACCTTGGCTTTCTGCTTCCCCTGTCTTAAAATTCAGGGTTCCACATCTAACTCCCACACAGAGTTTGGCAAACGGTACAGAGTTGTGGCTACCAACAAGGTGTGCAGTGGATGACAGCAGGAAGGGGAGGCGTGGGACGGCAGAGAAGAGGAATGGGCAATCTCGATTCTTCTGCATCTCTAGGAGGATTCTGCCCATCTTTGGCAAAATCCTCCTTCCTGAAGCCATCTTTCAGTCTTTGTGTTCCTCTAGCAAATGCACAATCTTCAGAATTCTCACAGTTACCTTTGCATAGAATTCTACAAAAATCGCCTTTTTAGTTTTTTTTAAAACATCTAACGTACTCTGTTCCATATAAGAATTCACCTTTCATCACTTAGATCAATATACGTAGGGACAATGACAAGAAATGAACTTGAACCATTTGAAAATTCAGCATTGTTCTTATCACCAAGTGAAAATTGCCATTTTTTCTCAGTTTTCAATGAGTTTATTGAACTATGACCTCATCGTTATTTGAGGAGCATCTGATAATATGAAAATTAGAATAATTTTAGATGTATCCCTATAATATATAAAAACTACAAAAAAGCTACCTTTTAAAAAAGATATTTAACTTCAAGGCTGATATTCAGACCATTTAGAATTCTTATAATACTACTTTAGACCTTAATCCGCTCTCTAGACATAACCCATGACCAAACTCAGTGGAGATCTTCCAACATTAATTTTTCCATCCAAACCCACAATCATTTTTTTTGAACAGGAATGTGAAAACATATTGTTTCCTATGTTCTGCAGGTTTGTAAGTGAGTGTAGTTACCATTTAGAATTCTCCCACCTGCTTCCAGATGTCAAAGCAGGGGGTATTACTCTTGAGAGCTCATCAATTCTGCTTCAGTAGATACTGGGAGGGTGCTGGGTGGATAATTTTGCCTATCAATTCCTTTTGAAATCTTAAATTGTTCGCAATAGGCGCAGAGCATTGCTTTATTGGGTAGGGTGAGAAGGTAGAATAGCAATCATTTAGTAAGAAATTCTGTCCAGCATGCACTGGACATAATATGCCACCTTTGCAGGGCTGGTGGTAAGCTCTTTTTGGAGGAATTAGCTTGTTTCTGTGGGGGTGGTGAAGGCATCCAGGATGAGGCAAGTGATGACTGACAGCCCAGCTGGTGGAGATGGGTAATTGGAAATTCATGGCACATAAATCTCCCGGTACTTATCTCGAAGCACAGGAAGAGAGGGGATGTGAGCTGGGGAACATTTAACCCTTTCAAAGGGATCTAGGAATGTGGCATGTCTTTGGTTCATCGTCTGAACTTCAATTATAGTTCTCGGATTTAGACCAATGCATTCTATTTATGGAAGGGACTCTGCACAGGAAATGAAAATATGTGCAACTGTTGGGGAGGGTCTTTGCTGTGTTCTTAAGAACAATATTAATCCTTCCTCATGAGGTCCTCTGAGACAGTGACTGGTCCCCTTGCTCTTCATTGGTTTCTGGATTTCTATGTGTGCACTTATTTTAGCTTCATATATATATACATATATATGTATATATATATTTATATATGGACCTCCCTCTACTCTAAGCTATTTTTAGAATAGGGTACCTTTGGGTCATTTGCAAGCAACCTGAACTAAAAACAGTAGCATAGAAGTGGGAGCGTTGTTCTCAGTGAAGTCTCATGCACTCTATTGATAGCTTGAGTCTTGTTTAACATCCCAGATGCACATATTGTAATCTTCCTGAAAAACCTCTATATCACTAAAGATGGCTATTAAGTCACTTTTTTTTTTTTCGAGACAGAGTTTCACTGTATTGTTTTGGAGCCTGTCCTGGAACTTGCTCGGTATTCCAGGCTTGGTCTCCAACTCACAGAGATCCGCCTGCCTCTGCCTTCCGAGTGCTGGGATTAAAGGCGTGTGCCACCACCACCCGGCCATTAAGTCACTTCTAATTTGTTCATTTTTCTTCAGGAAAACTTTTAATCTCATCAAAGATAAATCAGTGTATTGAGCTTGTCGCAGTGTGGGTGAGGTTAAGACTCTCCCTGAGCCTTGTGGACAGAACCTTTGACCCCACACTGTAAGGGTGACAGGCCTTTTGAAGGAAATGATTCATTTCAACAGCTGGACTTCCACGCTTTCTACCTCCTTGTTGATGTTCAGAACATTCATCTTGGTGGGTTATGTCCCTGAGGATTTGTGGCCATGTCTGTGCACTTTGGCTGGAGAAGTGTTGCATCTTCTGCAGCCTCAGAGGGTTCCTGCTGATGATCACAGCTGCCACGTAGAAACCTAACTGTCCATGGTCTCATACCTTCAAGTCTACCTGAGGTCTGAGAAAGGAGGGGATCGTGAGTGAGACGATAAGGCACAAGAAAATAAATAAATAGATAGATACATAGATCGATCGATAGATGATAGATAGATAGATAGATAGATAGATAGATAATTCCCGTAATGATGACCTACAAAGTAGATTGGTCAGTCTAAGGGAATGTATTAGCATTCAATTCCAGCTCATCATCTGTGTTCTAGATACGTTGATATCTTTTCAGACTCTACCTTTGAGACCTGAAGGACAAAGCTGGAAATATAGTTCAAATGGTTGAATATTTTCCTAGCATATATAAACCCCCGAGATTAGATCCTCATCACTGCATAAACTGGGTGTGGTGGAACACACCTGAAGTCCCAAAACATGGGAGGCACCTTAGAGACATAGGTGCCATAAACCTTTCTGCCATTTCCAAAGGCCATTATAGTTGCTTTCTGGTTCTCATGTGTGTCTCTCATATAAACTGACTGATTCCTTGTGAACAAGATAACGAAGAGGGTGGATCCCATAGAATGGGTTGAGACTAAGACGTGATAATCGAAGCAGTAATGCTTGCATAGAAGCAATTATCATGCTTTTAAAACCGCCTTTCATCTCTTCAAATGAGCTGCAAATAACGTATGTCTCTAGTGAAGAAAACAAAGACCATGTTATCATTTGAATAATAGCAAGTGACTCAGTACTTAAGAGCACTGGCTGCTCTTCAGAGAACCAGGGTTTCAGTCTGGGCACCCACATGGAGGCTCACAAACAACTGTCTGCAATTCCAGTTCCAAGGGATCTGATGCTTCTTCCAACCCCTGAGAGCACTAGGCATGCACATAATATACATACAAACTCATACAAATAAATAATAATACATCTTTAAAGAAGCTTCGTAATCTTTATAAAAGATGTCAACAGCCATGATAGCTTATAAGGGAGATTTCTTGGTCAAAACCGTAAACTCGTCTTCATCCAGATTTTCTTGTGAACTGTAAAGCCTGTAGTGCTTGGTGTATACACAGAAAGGAATCTGACTGTGTAGCCTTAGATAATCTAGCCTTCACAGTCTGCTTAGTGATTCCCTCTCTAGCCACAAGTCCAACAGATAGTAACTATGGACAGGCATGGGCTAGGATGCATATGATTCCAAACAAATCCAGCTCTCATAGGCTAAAAATGTGCATTCCGTCGATCGTGGCTATGTAGGACAGACACACCTGTGTACATCAGCCCATGGAGCTTAGGTGCCCGGGACGCCCTTCCTGCCCTTGTTTTCCATGCTGGTGTCTTACTGATTGTCAGTCTTTCACTCGCACAAATTCTTTAACCAACTTTGTGCTTTAAGGAACCTCTCATGAGCCATTTGTTTATTTTTATTTTTGAGACCGGGTCTCTGTAGATCCAGCTGGCCTGGAGCTTACTGCGTAACCCAATCTTGCTGCCTCAGCTTCCCAAAGGCTAAATTTACAGGTGTGTGCATGCTCGTCTGGAGAACTCATTCCATCGGTGTTTATGGGTGTTTGTGTTTTCATTTACTATGTTCCTGAGTCTGTGTCCCCCACTAGACTACAAAAATAAAAAAGGCAGGCAGTCTGACTTTTTTTTTTTTATTGACAGGAGTTCAACGAACATTTGCAGAAATGCAACCAAGCTGTACTGTCTGAGGCTTTGGACTGCTGTTCCTTTTGTTCTGCAAGCTTTTCCACAGATCTCTGAAGAGGTGGCAGTCTTCTTAGCACAGGCCACTATGTGGTATTTTGTATTTGCTCCTCTACTAAACGCACTCTAAGAGTGATGGTGACCTCCTCTCTCCTTCGCCGCGCGTTCTGAAGTTAGAACCTTGCTGACCTGTGGAAAGCCTTGGTAGGTGTTTGCCAAATAGGTGGATAGCATTTGATTTCCTCACCTAGCTGTGGTTCCAGTATTAACACAATGTTTTAATTGCCAGACAGGAGCTCCAGTGTCTTGCTGGGGGCTGGTGGGGGCTGGCTCTCAGAGCGGTATGACTCCGTTTTGTGTTTGTCCCATGTGGTCTGTGATCTGACAGTGCCTGAGTTTTCCTCAGCAGATGCTACAGGGGTTCTCCCTGAATCTTGGAGCTGTGGGCCTATTTGTTTCGTTATTCCTCTTCCTTTGCTGACTGGCAATGCTGGCCAGTGTTTGGTTTCTGAACTCACTTGTCTTTCTCACTTCAACTTGTTGCCAACTAGCCAGGGACTTGAAAAGAGCCACATTTGAGAGGGTAGGAGTTATTTGGGAGGCAGATACACTGGAGGTAAAGATACTTGGCTAAGGAAGAGGATGAGTGATTGACACAACAGGAAAGGCGCCTATCTCAGCTACTTTTCTATTGCTGTGAGAAGCATCCTGATCAAAAGCAGCTTGAGGGGAAAGGGTTTATTCTGCTTACAGGTCACAGTCCAGCACCGGGGAAGCCAAGACAGGAACTCACGGCAGGAACCTGGAGTCAGGAACTAAATTAGAGAGCACGGGGAGTACTGCTTACTGCTTTCCTGGTTTGCTCACTTGCTTTCTGGTACACAGTGGACTGGATCCTTCCATTGCAATCATCACATCAAGAAAACGCCAGCTCAGAACCTGCCTACAGGCAACCTGGATGGAGACATTTTCTCGGTCGACGTTCCTCTTCTCAGACAACTCCAGCTTGTGTCAAGTTGACAAAAACAAAAGCAAACAGGACAGCCCTGGGGTGGTGGCAACACGATCAGGAAGGTCTGAAGTTTGAGCAACATAGGGTTCTGGGTGTCTTGGATGCAGAGTCCTCCTCACTCAGCTGGAGGTGACTGGGGGAGCATCTTGTTTGCTTCCTCTGAGGGGTCGCTTCTCTCACACAGAGGGAAAGACAGGAGGTAGAAGTTTATAGCAGCTCTCCACCAGCAAAGCCATTCTTACATTTGTCTGCTTCATCATCATCTGGGACTGGGAGAGGCACAGAGGCAACGCTGCTTGACAGTAGGCCCAGCACCTGTGTAGACTGAGTACCTTTCTGCCTCTTAGCCTCAGCCTGGAGCCTCAGACAGGCCAGTCAAATAACCATCTTCCTTTGCACCAGCTGAACTTCAAAGTTACTTTACAGTCACTGCAAGGAAACAGAGTTTCCCCTGACAGACACCTCAGATGTATAGCTTTATCATTCCTGTGCGGCTCATGTTAGGTCTGGGGATTGCTGTCTGTTGTAGATTAGGTTAAACTGTAAGCAGTAGAATCTGCACCTCATCTGTTTCCACGGGACTTGGAGAGGTTGTGGGTCATCCGTACACAGCCTTACTCTGGAGACTATCCACAATTTCCACTAAAAGGCCAGGGTCAGCTGTTACTCTATGGCTGGAAATATGCACACATATACATGCAAGCACACAAGTAACTCTCTCTGTCCTGGAACTCACTCTGTAGACCAGGCTGGCTTAGAACTCAGAAAACTGCCTGCCTCTGCTTCCCAAGTGCTGGGATCAAAGGTATGTCCCCCCATGCCTATCTAGGAAAGGACATATTTTTTAATGTTCTTTTTCTACCATTTTTTTATTTTTTAATTTCATTTTACATTCCAACCACAGTTCTCCCTTCCACACTTCCTCCTGCTCAACCCTTATGCCCGCCCCTCTTCAGTCTACTCCTCCTCATGGGTAAGGGCTCCCATATGGAGTCAACATAGTCTGGCACAATAGGTTGGGGCAGGGCCAGGCCTCTCTCCCATGCATTAAGGCTGAGCATGGCATCCCATCACAGAGAGTGGTCTCCAACAAGCTAGCTCATGTACCAGGTTTGTATTTTGGTCCTACTGCCAGGATCCCCCTCAGCTAGTCCAAGCTTACAGTGGTCTCCCACACACAGAGGGTCTAGTTTGGGCCTCTAGAGTCTCCACAGTGGTAGGTCTAGAGTTCATGAGTTTACATAGCTAGGTTCAGCTGTCTCTGTAGATTGCCCCATCATGATCTTGACCTCCCTTGCTCATAGATTCCCTCCTCCCTCTCTTTGACTGGATTCCTGGAGCTCGGCCTGGTTATTGGTTGCGGAGCTCTGCATCTGGTTCCATCAATTACTGAATGAAGGCTCTTTGAAGACAGTTGTGGTATTCACCAATATGGTAACAGGGGTAGGGCAGTTCGGGCATCCTCTCCACTATTGCTAGGAGTCTTAGCTGGGGTCCTCCTTGTGGATTCCTCGGGGTTACTGTCGCAACAGGTTTCTCCCTAAGCCCATAGTGGCTCCCTCTATTAAGATCTCTCTTAATTTGTTCTTCCGCTGTAACCCTCCCCACCTCAGTCACCTCATTCCCTCCTGTTCCCATGCTCCTCCCCCTTAGCACCCCCCCTCCATTTACCCTGTAGATCTCATCTAATTTCCCTTCTCAGGGTGATCCATGTGTCCCTCTTAGGGTTCTCCTTGTTACCTAGTCTCTCTGTCTGTCTCTGTCTCTGTCTGTCTCTGTCTCTGCCTGTCCCTCTCTCTCTCTCTCTCTCTCTCTCTCTCTCTCTGTGTGTGTGTGTGTGTGTGTGTGTGTGTGTGTGTATGTGTGTGTACCATGACCGTCAGCATAGGAGGTCATGTTTGCCTTTTCATTGTAGGTGAAAGTGCTAAGAACTGCCTAATAGAAGATGTAGACTATTCTCTAAAATACTACTGGATATTGGTATCTAAAGGTCTTACTGGTTTTTTTTTTTTTTGAGACAGAAACTGGAATCCTAAGGGGAAAAATTTATCCTTTGTTTTAGAATGATTCCATAATGAACCAAACTGGCATTTAATCAGCTGAAAAACGTGAGCAGTTTATTATGACCATGCAAACTGTAGTTACCGCCTAAGCTCTTCTTTTACCTCCCAAGTTCTGTTACCCCCTTTTCTTCAGCATTATTGCTTTTTATTTGGATTTTTGCATTTAGCTTAGGGGAAAAGAAGAACACAATTGCTAAAACCAGATAGTGGGAGTCACCTGGTAGAGCATCAGCCCACTCCAGCTACAAATTGCTGTGTTTACAAACAGGCTCTGTAGCTATGTGCATTTCCTTTCCTACTGGTGGAAAATTCCAAACAGAGCACACAGTATTCTTTGAATGAGAAATAGTCTCAAGTTGGAGTTTATTATTTTAATCACTGTTTTTATTAGTCATTTAACAATTGCCTGGTACTGATTAATTATCTGGCTGTGTTATGTTAATAAGATTTCCAGGAAGGGAAAGAAGTCATTTTGCTTACGTGGGTTTAGTCTAATTTTATTCACCAAAATGGTATTTACTTAATAACAGTGATGGCAATGAGCAAAGATCCAGGCTGTGCTGTCTTCATTCCTGTGCAGAGCTAATTAGCAGAGCCAGTCCTACCCGGAGGTATGAGTCATGGATATGTCTCCAAGCTCTCTACAAACTTGATGGTGCATCAGTGAATCCTGTATCAACTGCAGTGTGAAATGGTCCATCAGTTATCACTAGATAGCCATCCATGAAGAAGATGGAGTACTTCTGTATGACTTGAAAACTACACTGATTCCCAAGCAAAAAACAAAAACAAAAACACAAACAAACAAATAACAACAACAAAACCAAGGACACTTCTTTAGTTGTAGTTGGATGGTTTAGTTTTCTGACTTGGGATGGACCATCTGACATTAACACTTTGGCCCCAGGTTTTAATCTCTGTTGCACCATTTTTATCTTCCCTCTGTTCTGCAGGAATAGAAGATGCTGATTTTCCTCTTGTCACTATGAGAACCCTGTGAGCTCACAGCAGTCCCAGAGGACCTACATATTGCCAGGAGATCAGATCAGAGATCACCTGCCTTTCAAACTCTTGGAAGGACATGCTAGACACTTAGGTCTCTGAAGAACCATCATGGGCTTTGCCATAGCATTTGAAGAACTGAAACTTGCACTTTAGTCAAATGGAGATAGCTTTAGAACTTGGTTCTTTCTTATTTTGAACTCGAGAAGATCTTTGAATCTGTTACAATAAATTACTTAAGAACAGCCAGGCATGGTGACACACGCCTTTCATCGCAGCACTAGGGTGAGGGAAGGAGGGCAGATCTTTGTGAGTTCCAGGCAAGCCTGGTCTACCGAATGAGTTCCAGGACAGCCAAAGATACACAGAGAAGCCCTGTCTTGAAAACAATTACTTAACAAAAAGAAAACTTTCTAAGTTTTAAATGATTTTGAAAATTTCAGACATGTATACATTTTTTATCAAATTCACTTCCCCCACCACCACCAACACACATACCTTGTTCCTTTTTGATTGGCTCTTTCTCCCATTGAAGCTCCTTTTTCCAGCTGGTCCACTCCTGTGTTTACGTCTTTGTGTGTGTGTGTGTGTGTGTGTGTGTGAGAGAGAGAGAGAGAGAGAGAGAGAGAGAGAGAGAGAGAGAGAGAGAGAGAGAGAGATCTACTGAGTTTAATTTGTTTGCTGGAGGTAGGCAATTCACCAGTGCAGAGATGACTTTCCTTCACTAAAAAACTGTTAACTTCCAAAAGCCCCTCCCCTATGCAGGATGGAATATTGACTGGCCCCATCTGGCTTAGGTTGTGAGCGAGCTGCCCCTGCCACTGTGAGCCCATGAGTGAAGTGATTATGTCATATCAAGAAGACTAGCTTTCACAGCAACCGCTGCACCCGTTACCCGGTTCCATGTCCCTTCTATGTTGAGAAACTAGTTATCATTTATTTCTGAGTTCCCACTATACAGCTTAGGTAATGAGTTCTCTCTATTTTTGCTTTCTTTTCAAGACTTTTGTATTTGGGGTATACAATCAGAAAAACAAAAGCATTGACTGAGTTTGTCAGAATCAAATCATTGCTCAAACATTTCATTTTGAGCAGCAATTTAGCAGCTTATGCTATAAACCACAAGA